ATCGTTAGCCGAGACGGCCACATGCGTGCTGCCATATTCCAATACAGTGCTAGGAGGAAAGTCATTTGCGTGGTTATGTCGGAGACCTCACGAACGATATCATTATGGTCCAAGATTCGAAAGCAATCACCCACGCAATGTCGGGCCGAAGTGTTAATCAAGAAATCATCACCGAAAGCCGATTGGGTCGAATCGCCAAATATCCGCGTGGTGGGCTTTCAATACCAGCAGGTCATCATGTCATCGTAGCGCCGGGTCATCTCAGTGCCACCCACAGACCACGGTCCAGTTAGTGTCATGGGGGGCGCTATCCCGGCGCGGAGGTCCATTTCCGACCGCGTCCCGCGACACCCATCGCGCCGACCGCTGCGGTCCGGCCGGGTCGGCAGACCGCCGAGATGACCACGCCTAATGCGGGGCACATCCGCGGCCCATCAGACACGATAATGACGTAATGCATGCTGATGTGTCCATAGAGTGGCGCGCTCCGCTTTCAGCGGTGACCGGCAGCCACCCGGGTAATTTCCAGGCTTTTAGGGAAATGGGTGATGGACAATGTAACTGAAATTGATGTCAGAAGTTTACTGTTATTACTAACAAGAAGCGAGAAGACGCTGAACTAGATTGAATGCTGCAGTTGAAAAATGAACGCTGAGTTTGTGATGGAAGTCATGCAAAACCTACCAGCTGCCTGTTTAGAAAGTTCAATTGACGACGACTTAGCATGTGAATATTTTCTAATGTACCTAGATAATTATCACTGACAGAGCATGACACATTGACAAGCTTAAGGTAGCTTCAGCATGTTACATGTTTATGTACTTTGGTTCAGAAACAGACAGCCACAGAGGCGGATCCAGCTCAGAGTTTTTTTTTGGGGGGGGGGGGCAAACCATAACAATTTATCGATTCTTTTCATGCCTCGTCCATAGGCGTAATGTTAACATTATGCCGTTGGGGGGGGGGCAAATGCCCATTTTGCCCCCCCCCCCCCCTGGATCCGCCACTGGACAGCCAATTCATTCCCGGATCCGGCAAAAAGTGGAGCTTTTTCTTCAAAAATGTATCCCATATTTCCAAGTTAAAGAGACATCAAAGTTATGTTGAAGTAAATGTATACATTTATCTATCCGTGTCATGCATGGTGGAAGCACGCCATTTATAAGTCGATGAGAATTGACAGCATATTGCCAAAATATGTGATTTTAAGGACGAACAGCCGAATATCTAATTCAACAATGATTAAAAACAAAACAAAACATTGCAGCCGCACCAGTCCGTTGTTTAGTAGCCTTCCCCTTGAGTCACTGTTACTTTTGGCAGGAATGCATAGATTTTTACGCTTAACATCTTTCAAACAGTGCCATGATGGGTGATAAAGCCACTTAAAACGCAAGTTCATTGAATGAATATGTAGGACGAATCCCATCAAGGTTCCTTTGAACCATGTGGTTCTTATCAAACTTCATTTCCAGCCACGCGTAAAGTGCGATGAGATAGGTCTGGTGGCCGTCTTCAGAGCGCCCTGCTGACGGCCAAACATCCGGTCCGCTCCACCAGAGGCGTGCCGCGACCGGCCGGCCGGCCCCGTCAGCAGCGCCCGCTCCGACCGCGGTAACACGGGCGGCAGCGCGGCTCGTCAGCCCCTCACCCGGCACCTCTCCGAGATCTCTCCGACCGTCGGCCGGAGCTGCCACGCCGCAAAAAGGCACTACATCACGTCTGCCAGCCGGCTCCCAGCCCGGTCTCGGACAACCTGAGAGGCGGCCCGTTACAGGCCACCCGCTCAAAACGACGCTCCATTACCCAGCTCGGACACGTGCCCGGGTCACATTGAAGGGGTTGCCAGGTTTGACTGAATGAGAAAAGTGAGACGCCGGAACATATATGTAGTTAGCTGCATTGAGATGCAAACATGAAATCGACAGCCAACACGCACCCACCATTTGAGATATTCACCGATCACACCTTTTTGAGCCTCTTAATTCATATACATTATACAAGTTTACTGGCATTAACTCATCCTCCACCTCCCCGCCTCTCTCTGACCGCGGACGAGGAGCCATCATCTCCGACCCCCGCGGCCCAGCTACTCTCGCTCTCCACTGCCGGCCGGCGGCCGTGTCTCCTTCCGATCCTCCTTTCCGGGTCATCACGCGCCGGAGCGCCCTCGGAGCCCCGGTCCGGATATCGCCCGAGGCGCTCAGCCGCGGCCGCCGCCGGGGAGCTCCCACGATATCTGAGCGCTCACTGAGGGAGCTCCACTGATCTCTGAGCGCCCACTGAGGGAGCTCCACTGATTTCTGCGGTCGACGGGGGAGCTGCACCGGTATCTGAGCGGCCGCTGAGGGAGCTCCACCGATATGTGTGGCCGCCGGGGGTGATATCTGAGCGGCCACTGAGGGAGCTGCACCGTTCCCTGAGCACCCATCGAAGTGTGAGGGAGCTGCACCCATTTCTGAGCGGCCGCCGATCGGCCGGTGAGCGGCGCTCCCCACTCATCCCGCCGGGTCGGGCCGCGCGCCCCGGGGACGGCCGCTGTCGATACCAGCCGCCCCGTCAGCCTCTCTGACCGGCCGGGGGGCGCCAACACGGGCGGCGCTGACACGGCGCCGACCGGCCGGAAACCCTCAGCCATAGCCGGAACAATGGGCGGCCGGCGGTCGCAGATAAAGGCGGAGCGGAGAGCACACACAGCGGCCCGGTGTCGGCCACAAGTGCCAACAGGGCGCAGCTAATGAACACTCGGCGGGCCGCTCCGTGAATGGAGCCGACAAACCACTGTTCCATTCAAAGACCGGATACAAAATAGGAGACACAAGATCGCCCACATTTCACGGACCATAACCAAACACATTCAGCTACTTGCCACGCTGTACGAATTAGAGTCCACTTCTTCAGAAAAACGAACTCTACGAAGAACATCTAAGACTGAGTAAGGGCGCACCCTATGGCGGTGTTCTACCAGTTTCCGCGCAGCCCAAATAATACACTGCTGTTGTTTTTTATTAATGGGCCGCAGAGAGGCTGCGTATCTCACTCACTACAGTGGCACCGCATTTTCCGCTCCAGTGAACCAGAAGAGGATCACAGAGCCGAACGTGAATCCCCGCGGCCGAGGACGATCGAGGGGCAATGCACCGAGACGCGCAAACACTGCTCCGCGAATGGCGGCGCTGAGAGCCTGCTAATGCAAAATAGATGACGAGCCATTTTCAGAACACTGATGGATACCTATTGCCCAAGTGGCTATGAAACAAGTGGCGATCGTGTGACGGCCTCCCAAAGCGCAAGAATTTTATTTAACACTTTTTAGAATTAAATTTCAATTCACTTTTACTTTTAGAAAATGTGACTACAAAAAAGAATCGGGTTAACGAAAGTGACGATTTCCCATCTGGCAGTAATCGCCACGCCATGTGTGGATCGCCCATGATCGTAAATACATACATACATACATACATACAAATGAGGCACCGTGGGAACAAGTCTACTCCCAGTTCTCACCGGAAATTGGGACGGACATCAGCTGTGATTTCAACACTGTCGCAAGTAGTGGGCTCTGGGCAAACAGTCGAGCGCCGTAGGAGCAGTCCGACTGGCCACATCCACTCCTAAACAGAGCGGGTCGCTTCGAGGAATCAGCACAGCCATCAACACATGATCTCGGGGTAAAGCGGCCGCGGGCGAGGCTCAGTGGTCGGTAAACTTACAACTTTCTTTAGTAATCACACCGATCAAAGCTAACTCGACCATCACGACCCGCGGCCGTAAGATCTTTGGGCCAATATCAAAATATTCGGCACTGCTGATTAAATGTAACTAATGTGAAGAAAGCACGATATCCCACCCAAACGCCCCACATATCCCAGACCCAGGCAGAGGCTGCTGTTTTCCATCCGAGTTCGGGGCGGCCATGACCGGATCCACCTGGTCTGGCCGGATGCGGAGCGCACATTCCGAGCGGGTCGGGCCGGATACGACCGCTGTCCGCTCGGCCAAACGGACCGTCCAGTCGACCGATGCAAACCGCTGACACATGTGGAGGACAGCACAGCAGAGAACACGCTCGGCCAGCGGCAGAGACAATGAAACGGTCCATAAACACACGACATGCCACGCTGTGTGACTGCGATAGGGTCAATATGAAGGACAACTAGCCTGGAAATCACGGGATACCACAACGACCATACCACAATACCATGCCACAATCACGCACGCATTTACAGTTGCGTGCGGAATGCCCGTCCCAGGGCAGTAATCAAATTCGGAGGCCGGAGCCCAATATCCAAAGCACTGCCCTGCCAAATGTCTGGTCACCCGCCACTGAGTGCTGGACAAGCTCCACAAACGGCAATAAACGACCAGTCTGCAATGCTGAGGCAGCATGGACCGGAGACAGAATGCTTCCGTGCCCACTGAGAGCTGTCTCACTTTCACAACTCGGATCGTTGCATGGATACCAGATATATTTAGTAATTGATTGCTGGTGGACCAAATCAAAATCGTCGATGCAGACTTCAGCAATCCAGCTCGATCGCGTTCAGCATATCAACACCCTCGGCCATTGCTACAGTTATGACCAAACCTCCCCCATCCTGCCAGCTCAGTCTGCTCGCAGAAGGGACAGGCGACCATTCTGTTCCATCGCCGGAGAAAGGCGGCCGAGTCACGGCCGGACATCACGAGTCACGACCGCCGCCGGCGCGCCGGTCTCGTGTCGTGACACGGCTCGGGGCCGGGATGACACGGCGGTCGCGCCGCTCCAACACGCCGGAGGGGAAGCGGACGACTAGTGACGTCACCCTGCCAGTGATGTCATCAGGTAGGTGACCCGGCCTCGGCCCTGACCAGCCGGACGGGAGCACTGTAAGACGTAATGATGATAGGAGGGGAATGGGTTTCGCTAAATCAGAAACAAAAAACATGGGAAATAGGAAACATTGGGATCCCGACTGACAACGCCAAGCAGCGGCGCGGGCTGAGAGCCGCGGACTCACCTGCGCTAGCGCCGCCTTGGCCTGCTGCTGGTACTGGAGGGCTTGCTCCCTCAATAGCTGCTGCTCATGGTGAGCAGAGAGAGGGGTGCCAGCCAGCGGCAGGAGGCCCTCCGTGCCCAGCGGCTCTGCCAGAGGCGAGGCGAAGAGCTCGTCTGGCAGAAGCATGTTGCTTCCTCCCGGCGGCAGGGACAGCGGCTCCAGCTTGTTCGGCCTCTGCAGGGCGGTGTTGATGATGTCCGACGAGTCGTACGGAGGCAGGTCCATGCTGAGCGGGTCAGACGACGCGTCTGTGATCCTCCGCAGCTGGGCACTCAGATCCACACTGCCGCTGGTGCTGTGCTCTGAGTCCTCCTCTTCTCCACACTCTAGCTTATGGCACACTTCAAACGCTTGGCCCACAGTTCTCACAACCTTCATGGCCTGGCTCTTCTTGGCTGCTTTGAAAACACTACACTTGAAAACATTGGAATGAGACTCTCTGGCAATGTAACTGAAAATCTTCAGATCTTGTGAATCATGAGAAACATAAAATATCCTGTAAACTGGATGTTGCATGACTAGAAGCTTGCTCTCATCAACAAATTCATTTTTCTTCTTCCGCTTCTTCCTCAGGGACACCTTGACTCCCTCAGTGCTGACCATAATGGAGACTTTCTTCTTTTTCAATCCCTTGGCTTTGTACTCGTATCTTATTCGCCTCATCGCTGCAACAATTTCAACTCTGCTAGATGGGCGAGGGACATCAAGAGTACCGATATACTTCGCTTGGAATGTGATACCATGCTGGAAGGCCTCGTCTGTGTGAAGAGGGATGCGACAATCATACTCATCATTCTGGACCAAGTTGTATTGCTTCTTTGTCATCTTGCTGGAAATAGTCATCAACATGAGTTGATCAGAGCCTGCACAGGACCTATGACTTCAACGCTTTTAAATCCTCTTAGTGGCTCAATTCAGCTTCAACTTGAATTGGATGTGACATGTAGCTGTATAGGTTCCCAAAATATTGAACACCAGCAGCCAGCTAGCTCTTCACGGCATTAAGCATCATAGCATTAACAAACTAAAGGCTTCTCATTGTACTGTAGCACTCAGCCATCTAGTTACTATTTTAGCTTGTACAGCAGTCATTTCCAAGTACGAAGACATTTCAATTTTGCTCGGAAACCAACTTGAACCTGAGCCAGAACTAGTCTTCGCTTGGTGGTCGACGCCGATGTTGAGATTCGGGAAATGTCACGCCACAAATTCGAGTCATTCAGCGCTCACACAAAGCAGTGATCATTTTATCCCGGTGACGTTAGCGAGAAAAAAAAACGAATTCTTAAAAGTCGCAAGCCAACTCAGACGACACACGACACACCCCTCCACATCACAATCTCAACGCGAATGCCGGGAATCCAAACAAATGCAGCCCGAGGCTATACAAAGGAGTCGTTCGTTATGTATCATTTTTAAGAAATGTGTCTCCAGAAATGTGTCTATGGATTGAAATTTACGACGTCGTATGCAATCTAAGGTTTTTTAACTTCCAAAAACGTATTTTTTGCGTAAATGTACGGCAAATTCAAGGCGAAACGAAAATTACAAAAACAAATAAAAACAAAAATAAAAGACGAACAGACTCGTAAATTTGTTGTAGGCTGCCATCTATCGCTTGCTATTTTTTTTATTAAAAACATCTCGTGATTCGCTGTTGTAAATTGTAGTTCTTTTGACTAAAAGAGATATAAAATTATTTTAAATGATTATGTTAAGACAATAAAAGACACATACAAAAGCATATAGATCAAGATCAAGAAGCACTTTAGTTGTTGCAATTCTGGTGGGGTAGTTTCATTTCAGACGCAATGTGTTGAACACATGGTGGGACGGGTGTGTGTGTGTGTGTGTGGGACAGTCACTCACGTGTGGAGGAATGGATCGAAGTTGAAGAAAATATTAGGTGAGATTGCCCTTGGCTAATAATACAAGAAAGCAAAGACGCAGCATCTTGCGTGTTATACTCCTGCAATTTGACAGTTGACGCCTGACGGGACCTCTGTCGATACGGTGAGTAGTGACTAGTGAGTAGGCACTGAGTAGCAATTCAAATTGCTATGACAATGATGTCAATGTTCTGAATTTTTCCATGTTTTCAAGAACCATGCTGCCAAGGCATTGCAATTTATATTGTCTTCATTATTAGAGTAATTGCCTTTATCTGATAACATTTCAATTTTTGATCAAGAAAAGGACCACCAATGGTTCAAGATCAGTGAATTTCCAAGACAAGTCTGAAAGACCAGAGCTTGAGCTTGTGCTGGTGCTGTGGTATGCTTCACAAGTTATGAGTTTTTCTCTGTTTCTTGCTTTTATCATGATCATTGGCAAATCCAGCGACAGGGTATTTGGGCAAGTGTCCCCCACATTATTTAAACTCTGAAATCCTTTCAGTTTTGCTTTCTATAGGTCTGCTTAAAGTTGCACATTACTTTATAAGGAATCAAAATCTGATGAGTTAACTCAAGAGAATGGAGCTGAAAATATTTGACTTACTTTTTAGTGGTATGAATACCTACCCAACTTATTATATTATTTTATCACCTACATCAAGGTGGTATGCAAAAGCAAGATATGACCAATGTTTTAACTGAATGTAATGAAAGTAATGAGTGATGAAGTAAGGAAGTAAAGTAAGGAGTAGGTAATGAAATGAAATGAATTAAATGTGATTTTCAATAAATGATAGAGATTGTATATCGCAAAAAAATCATCTTGAAGCTTTAGTAAGCTTCATGCATAGGCATCTACATTCTACATCTCTTTGGGACTGGTGTAAATTTTATTTTCACAATTTAAATGCCATCTTAGAAAAATGTAGCAAACAGCTTTCCTACAACCCAGCTGTGCCCATTCTCAACACAAATATCTACATTGGTGAGCAACAATTTTAACAAGTGTATGTCGTGCTGCTGTTATCTGACAGGATGAAATGACCAACTGGATAGAAATCAATTGGCATCACAAGTGGGGGGTGCAGCCTATTATCATTGCTGTCTAGAGACATCTGAAACTCCCAAGAGGTGATGTCTGCTGAGCCAGTGCTGGCCAACAGTGCAGAGGATGCACCACCAAGTGGAAAACGAAGAAAACTAGCGCAGAAGTGTGATGCGGCGCGCTCCACCCCGGCGGAGGTAAAGGACCGCGCGCGCTGTCGGCTGTTCGTCGGCTTCCCGGAGGGCCAGCTGCGGGACGTGCGTCAGGCAACCGGGCTGTTCCCGACCGCCACCTCGATCCAGCTGCCGCGCGCCGTCGAGTGTCAGTTCGAGTCGGCGGCCGAGGCGGCCGCCGTGGCGGCGCGGCTGCAGGCGGAGGTGCTGGCCGGCCGGCTGGCCGCCGCCGAGGTGGTGCGCGCCGAGCGGCCCGCGCCCGGCGCCGGGCCGCGCACCGTGCTGCGCGACATGACGCGTCTGCACGTGCGCGGCATCCAGCGCACAGTGACGGTGCCGGAGCTGCGCGAGCTGTTCGCCGGCTGCTCTGACGTCACCGTACCGGGAAATAACGCCCGCGGCAACAACGGCTACGCGTTCGTGCAGTTCCCCGACCGCGAGTCGGCGGCGGCCTTCATGGTGCAGCAGCTGAAGCTGCAGGAAAAACCCCTGACCTTGTCCTACGCCGTGGAACGCGACATGAAGCGTGCCGGAGAGCCCAACTTGGAACTGGTGAAGGTGGACAGCGACCCTGGCGGCAAACCACCGAAACAGGACTTACCTGGGCCGCCGAACGGTGGGGCTGGGGATAAGCCTGCGGTGAAAGAGAAAAAGAAATGGAAACACGGGAAGAACACAAAGATACATAAAAATGATGTGTACAAGAATCAAAGCACAGTGATGACAACATAGTCCGGGGTCATGCGGTAGGCGTTATGTCATGCCTGGACCAACTCACTACCAAGTGACGTTTTCGTTTTCCTGTCGCAAAGTATCAACATCCAGAAAATCAGTTATTGTTTCATTTTGCGCTTTCTCAAGAATCTGATCGTGATACATGATAGCCATGATGTTGCTAAATGACTGCAAATAAATCGTTATTTGTTACGTTTGTGTTACAATTATTGCCTGATAGATAAGTTTAGCGGATGAGACGGCGGGAGCCAGACCACTTCTCGTACTAGCGAAATGATACTTTCACGATTCTGTCGCGTGGAGTTTTACCGAGTCGTAAGATGAATGAGCCAATGGACGCCACACGATAGAATGTTTATTTCCCGCTATATCGATATTCCCCAGAGTGGAATAGCTAGAACATTGCAGACGCAGACACTATGTGGTTACTGATGAAAGTAAGCCTGCTGCACTCATGCGCTTAGTCTGAGAAGAGTTTTCATCGTCCCTCTTATCACGTTCTCTTTAAGTATGGTGTCTAAAGAATGTACATTTGAACTTGCTCGATTGCGAGCCAGGCTGCCATCCGACGGCTCGTAGTTTGTAATGGATTGACATTGCTACCGGCGTTACACTGCCCACCAACTGGCCTCAGCTGCCGGTGTCCCACCCGGCGCCCGCTCTCGGCCGGCCCGTCACGCGGCGTGTCCCGCTGCCCACAGTGTGACGCCATGCGTAACGTGGAGATCAAGGCGCGCGTGCGTGACCTGGAGCGGACGCGTCAGCTGGCGGCCCAGCTGAGCGGCTCCGACGGCCAGCAACTGGACATGCGCGACACCTTCTTCCCGGCGGCGCACGGCCGGCTCAAACTGCGCGAGCAGACGGGCGCGCCCAACCGGCTCATATTCTATGACCGGCCGGACACGACCGGGCCGAAACTCTCCGACTACAAGCTGGCCAACCTGGGCGAGGAGGTGGGTCCGCTCCGCGAGGTGCTGGCCGCTGCGCTCGGTGTGCGCGGAGACGTCGAGAAGCGGCGCTACCTCTACCTGGTGGGCCAGACGCGCGTGCACGTGGACCGGGTCACCGGGCTGGGCGACTTTGTCGAGCTGGAGGTGTGTCTGACTGACGAGCAGACCACCGAGGACGGCCAGGCGGTGGCCGACCGGCTCATGGAGCAGCTGGGGGTAGCGCCCGACGACCTCATCGACTGCGCGTACATGGACATGCTGCTGAAGAAGGGGGACGGGGAGGCCAGCTCGTAGGACGAGTCTGTCACCGGCGGGACGTAGGGAATTCACCAATCAGTCCGCTGGTAGTGGTGGGATCGGAACTGCAGATACACAGTCATCCGTCGATTCAACTGAGATAGATATGGTTCATTCCAATTCCTGTGATGCATTCTCAATTGGAATGCGACTCAGACCATTTATACTCGAATGCTGATGGTTGAGATATGTCGCTCATTTGCACTTTTTTGTTACTTTTGATACAAATATACTAGCAAGTATGCCATTGTCTTTCTAATATTGAACACATCCGGCAGACTCATTGTCAAAACAAAATATACCGTACCGATGTAGTAGTATTTATGTATGAACAAATGAGCGTTTATGAAATTCAACACGTTCATTTTCACCTGCTTGTGGTAGCCCTGGTAAAAGACGGCTTCGAGACGCGGCCCCGCCTCCGCCGTCGCACAAAAATCCGTATCCGGGTGATGCGGGTGGCTCAACAGTCAACAACCCTAAGCGTTTACCAGACATCGCACGGATCAACCAACAACACGCTGCAAACAGACACACTATCAAGCCCATATCAACCCAGTACGTTAGGCCACTTATGCTCAACGCAAGCCCATCACAGTCACAAACGTAGCAACGGGTCGCCACTACTTCTGCATAGCCAAATACATTGTCCTGGTCACGATGATGTCATACAGCCCACGGGCTTCCAGAAACATAATCCTTCAGTCGCTCCAGGTACATTATCTTCCAGCGACGCCTGAAACTAGCAGCACGGAGCTGAAATGGCAGAGTGTTGGCCCGTTGTGGGTCGCTGGTCTACCACCGCCCTCATCCCGGCCCTGACTCCGCTCCCTGACTCCATGACTCGATTCAGTCGGCCGCGACTACGACTCTGACTCGGCCGGCCTGTCGCACGGCGGCCACAGCTGAGCCACCTTATCGTGAAGGATCTCCGGGATCCACTCCTTGTACGCCGACAGCAGGTCTGAAAACGGCAACGCACCTGTCAGTGAGTTCTTTGGGGATGCTTATTGGATGATAGACGAGCATAGGCGCATACACGGGTTGCACTCACAGGTTGGTCTCCGCTGCCACACATCCAACAAGGTGTCCCGGTTGTCGCAGTTCTCTGCCACCAGTGCCTTCAGCAGACTGTCCGTCCGCGGGTGCAGCCTGCCACAAACACATCAGAAAGTCAGTCAGCCGTGTCCTTAGACAGAGGATGTCTACAACGGGCTAGTAGATGGCTGGCTGGCATCGAAATAAGAGGTTGACGTTTCGAGTCGGATGGTGATAGAATATGAAATAAGACTGCAGTAAAATTATGTTCAACACAAGTGAGCAGCCATCGGCAGTGAGACAGTGAATCGGCGCCCCTTTCCTCCACCGCTGTCCAGAACCGTTACCCACTGCCCCCACCACTCCGTCCCGTACCTGGCCCAGCTCTTGGTCATGGTGGCGGGGGGCGCCAGTAGCACCCTGGCGAGCTCGGCCAGTCGGGGGCACACGTCTCCGCGCAGCAGGTGTACCCCAAACAGCCGGTAGCGGTCCAGGCCGGCCGGGTAGTCGAGCTGCACCGGCGGCAGCGGCCACACGGCCCGGCCTACCGGAACGGACGGACGCGGTCAGACGGGTACGGCAGTCGGAGGGTCACGGCAGGATAGGTGAGGCGGGGTCACATGACAAAACAGTCATGAGCAGTTCGTCACGAACCGTCCACTAGAACCATAAGTCAAAACAGGGGACATACGATGCGTACTCAACTATACTATATACAGGAAGTCTGAGGTCGCCACGACGATGTAAACTCAATTGCCCCACAATATGCCGCGACTGGTCGTCACGCCACCTATCCACATACCGAAGGTGGCTGTCATGTAGCACCGTACTCTGCCCGACACGGGGTCAAACTCTGGCGGCGGCTCGTCGAGCGGTTTGCTGAAGGTGCACTGGCCAGGACAGAGGGTGGCCAGCCACTCGGGCTCCACTGCGGTCACACCTGCAGCAAAGAGAGAGGGGGAGGGGTGGTCAGAGGGGAGGAGACAGAGCGTAGCCAGCCACTCGGGCTCCACTGCGGTCACACCTGGAACGGAGAGACGGGGAGGGCCGGTCAAAAGAGTGGAGCGAGAGTCTGCGGCGACGGCAGAGGACTGATCACCGGTCGGTTGTCAGATGTCGCGACGGCTAAGGATTGACCAAAAGCCTCAACAAGAGAGATCAAAGTTATCTACGTGCAACATGGCCTAACATCACGTCATGACCCTGAATTCGCGATATCTCAGCTGGGCATCGCCCACCGGCCCGCGCGGCTCCGTACCGCGCATGTAGAGTTTGTTGGTCTCGTAGATCTCCTGGTAGGCCACATACTGGGGCGCCTCCTTCCTCAGCACGGAGCCGCGGTGTAGGAACACTGGCTCCTCGATACTGGTACACCTGAAAACGGCAAAACGAATCAGCCTCATGCACGTCACGCAGTGAAAGGCTCGTCATAAATGACAATGCAGACGGAACAAAGGGACAGCTGCATAAGCAAATTGTAAACATTTATTGGTGATTGACTGTATTTATTGTAAGAGCATAGCGACCTACGGTCGGTAACCGTCACCATGTCCCGGCCCTTTCCCAGCTATATGGGAGCTAAATTTAGAGACATGTGCAGTATAATTTGAGAACATCGGCCAACAGCCACCATCACAATCGCCCCTCTCTCCTCGTCTGCCCTCGTCTCGCCGCGCACCTGTAGGCACCCTTCCACTTGGGCCGGTCCTCTGGGTTGTTGATCTCCTGCGGGTCGACGCGGCGCGCCACGTGGTCGGGCAGGCCGGCCAGCAGCACCTGGCGTAGCAGGCGGCACTGCGCCTCGGACGGCGGCGCCAGGCGCGGGTCCACGCCCAGCGCCGCCGACGGCACCACCAGGTTGATCTGGTTAGTCAGCTGCACGCGCAGCTTGCGGATCTCGCGCATCGCCTTCAGACGCAGACCGTAGCGGCGGCAGAACTCTGCGCGTGGGAGGCAGAGGTTAGAGGCTGTCGTAATGGGAGAGTACAACACATTCGCCCTATGTCCAGACTGCCGGAGGAATCGTGTTTCAGCACGCAGCGTAGAATAAAACGCGCACCACACTTACTGTGGGGCGTGGGCAGTTGCTGACCTGTGGATCGCCAATGTCAATGATTCAGCTCAACGTCCCACGTGATCTCAGCGACCTGACCCGGCGACCGACCTAGCGTGCTGAGCCACTATACATACTCTGCCCCAGTGACCTGACCCGGCCACTGACCCGGTATACAGCCGGCGTACTCTGCCCCAGTGACCTGACCCGGCCACTGACCCGGTATACAGCCGGCGTACTCTGCCCCAGTGACCTGACCCGGCCACTGACCTGGTGTGCAACCGCTGTACTCTGCCCCAGTGACCTGACCCGGCCACTGACCTGGTGTACAGCCGCTGTACTCTGCCCCAGTGACCTGTCCCGGCCACTGACCTGGTGTACAACCGCTGTACTCTGCCCCAGTGACCTGACCCCGCCGGCCGTCACTGACCTGGTGTACAGCCGCTGTACTCTGCCGCGCCCACGGCCCTAATGAGCACCATCGCGTCCCCGAGCAGCAGCGAGTTACCGGTGCCGGCCCACGAGCGGCGCAGGGTCATCCACTCCGACCACAGCTGCTTGGCCTGGCGGAGAGACACCGGGCCGCGTCACAGGGACAGTTGGAAGACCGGATGCGCACATGGTTTGTAAAAACAGTAAGCCCAACTATCAATTAACTAGAATTAGGATCGAGTCTCAGGGAAGGCATTGTACGCTGGTTTGTGAAAATCGCATCAAATACACAGCACAAGACGGTAATTCAGTAAACAGCCCCCTGTGCAGTCCCAGCCGCGACACACTGCCCTCGCAGCTGCCCGCCACAGCCGGTCCGCTTCCTTACATGTTCCTTGTCCTCGGCGGTGACGGGGTTCTCGAGGAGCACCTCCTGCACGCTGAGCGCCGCCACCAGACACACGGTGAACGGCAGCAGCTCGTGCTGCTCAGAGAGCACCAGCATTTTGGCGAACCGCGCCGACACGGGGAAACAGGCCATCGCGCGGCCCAGGTCAGTGACGCGCGTCTCCGGCTCTGCCGGCGAGCGCGGAGAGTCGACATGTCATGAGTGACGAAAGAATAACTCTAGTGCGACTATGTGAAGGTGCAAACGGAATAGAAATGGCGTCATGAGTGACTAAGACTGTTATTCATAATCAAATAAACATTTACCGCATCATAAACATCGGCAGATGAATAGAAGTCGAGCGACCATCATGAAACACTTCGGCATGTGCCGAGTCACTTGAGCCAGCAACCTGTAAACCAATGTCTCGACTCCTACACCCACTGCACCTTCCCCAAAGGCACTGTCATCCCCGGCCGTCCCTCCCTCTCCCGAACTCACCTGCAGACGGTTTATCCGCTCCCGGGGGCGGCGGTGGCGGCCGTTCCAGCGCGCCGAGCTGCACCAGCCGCTCCTCCGCGGCGCGCAGCTGCTCCCGGTCCGGCGGCGACGGGAACGGAAAGTTCACCACGCGGTCCACGTGCATGGCCTTCATCTGGAGCAGCACGTCCTCGACGGGCTTGCGCTGGATCTCTGGCCGCGCGAACCGCTCCATCTCGTCGTTGAACAGAGCCGAGGAGAAGAGCCGGTAGCAGTGGCCGGGAGCCACGCGGCCGGCGCGGCCCGCCCGCTGGTTGGCCGCCGCCTGAGACTCCCACATCACCTAATGGAGGGGGAAGGGGGTGAGCGCCGAGCGGTCAAATCCACGCCTGATATTCCATCATCAGCTAAAAATATCGGAGACAAGCGGGACGGAAAGGTCGACGACCCACTCTGCCGGCGGAATAACATAAAATGGAACGGCTGAATTATAGTCCTGACCGCGCAGAGTTCGTATCTCTTTCAGAACAGAGCTAATCCGTTACCTGGAAGGCGGAGACGCCGGTCGTCTTCTCGTACAGCTTCTGCTTCACCTTGCCCGTGTCAATGACGTACTTTATTCCGGGGATGGTGAGCGAGGTCTCTGCCACGTTCGTGGCCACCACGCAGAGCCGAGCGCCCTCGGGGACCGGCTCAAACACCTGAGGGAAGGGGGACGGAGGGACGTGAGCAGACAGTGACTCGCGCGCCCTCGGGGACCGGCTCAAACACCTGAGGGGAGGGAACAGCGCGGCCACGATCATCACAACGGGTCGTCTAGTCAACATTTCACGGCAACAACTCTTCAGCATCCTAACATCACTATCATCGAAATGAGGACGCGAAAACAATCAATGGAATAGGCATTCTTGATGGGATACGAGCGAGCTGTGAGGTTTTATCGGGACTCAGCATACCGCATCTCCGACACACCATATTGACAGCACACACAGCCCCCCCCCCCCCCGACACGCCCCTGGGACGGACCTGCGACTGTTTCTCGGTGGAGAGCATGGCGTAGAGGGGCAGCACGTGCAGCGGGTGGCGGTCGGCGCCGGGCACCGCCGCCGCCGCGCGCTCATCCTCGTCGCCGTCCTCCTCGAGGTCGCCGTCGTCGCCCTCGCCGTCGGCGCCCTCCAACAGGTCCTCGGCCTCCGCCGAGGGAGGCTCGATGGCGTAACTGCCGGCCACAACGAGCGGGAGGGTCAGTGACTGGGCAGTATAACACACCGCCCCATCGTGGGGAGAACTGCGGCAAAATAGTTAACCCACAAAATATCATCTCCCGCTGTTCTTACCTGTCCAGGTTGACCTCCGGCAGCTCATTGCTCTTGTGTTTCCTCTGTTTCTTCAGCTTGGGGTTGAAGAAGATGGCTTCCTCCTCCTCCTCTGTCAGCTCCGGTTTCTTCTCGGCAGGCGCGGCTTTCTGACCCTCCTTGCTTTTCGCATCCTCCTTGCGCTGGGTTTTAGAGGGGAACGTCTTCTTCAATCGCTGCATAATGCTGTTCACCTCATTTTGACCTGGTGAAATACAAACAATTGTCAACATATTCGAAAATATTCCCAGACAAAAGAGCGCCCAATCCCCAAGTAAGGCACGAGTGCACCACACATTTCCCCGTCCAATCGTCACTAAGCCGCACACTGTTCAGTGCCCGGTCCCCGTGCTCCGTTCACCTGTGACGAAGATGAGGATGCCGCCGTCGGGCAGCGTGCGGTGGATCTTGCACGCCTTTCTGTACGCCTCGCCCACATAGTCGTCCGGAGTCCGCTTGCTCCAGTGCACGGTGACAGGAAACTGGCGAGACTCCACCTGGTAAAAGGGAGATACCATTCAGCCGCTGGAATGGGGAGCAGATTCGCTCGAGATGCATCCTTCACTATATCACTGTATGCAAAGATTTTGTGGACAGATTTCCCGTGATAAAAATGGCCGACATTCAGTGGAATGGAATGTAAACGAAATAGGAACCAAAGTTGGTGCCTACCGATGTCGTAAAAAGCATATGTTGGGAGTTAAATACATCGATATCACTGAGTAAAATGCAACTTTCCAGACATTTCGGAGAAACTACGGAATACTTACGTTGGATTCATATTTAAATTCATGGATAGATACTTTGGATGTATGTCATGTTCTGACAAGTTTCGTAGCATGCAGCAGCAGTTTTTGCGATTGTAAAACTACAAGATCTCTCAAGCAGCCTACCTTTGCACCTCACCGGTCACAAAATAACAAAATCATAATAAAGTCGTGTAAAAAGATAAACGAACAAGCAACGTCCGGGAGCGGCTGATAAGACGTGATTAGCGAACCCAGCGGATAAAAATAAAAAACGGATCAAGTTTCTTTTCTGAGTCCGATCTACCGTAACGACAAACCGCTACGATCGATATGACATTATAGCGAGGGAACGGGAGTTCAGAATACCGCACAAACCTCGGAAAAACGCGGCACCACCTAAACTAGAGCTAATAGAAACGGTATTAATAATCTCCTTATCTGCAAATAAAAAGTCATCTATCATATAAACGAATCAGAAAAAAACTGAGCCACCAACTTTCACTCTTCTCAGTAAGACATCACTTAAACAATCAGCATTTACGACCACTGCCTACCGCCGCCGCGGAGGCTGACCTTGATGACTGGCGGCGGGACCTTGAAGAGCCGCCTGTTGGCCGTGAAATCCTCCACCCGCAGCGTGGCAGACATGATGACCAGCTTGAGCGGCCTGTGGCGTTTGTTGCGCAGCGGCACAATGCGCGACAGCAGGCCGATCAGGATGTCTGTGTAGACACTGCGCTCGTGGGCCTCGTCGATGATGATGACGCTGTATTTGTTCAGAAGGAAGTCCTGAGCAGAGGATGGCAAAAGACGAGACGTCAGTTAGCCCACCTTTTTAAATCAATAATGAGTTGCGACACGGGAACCCATCCGGCGACATTTCTAGGGGGCTTAAAAGGCACACCTATCCAGCAATGGGAAGCGAAAAATGAGCAAATGAGCCTGACCTGATACTAACACAAGTTCAACAGTCGAATAAGATCGACGTCCGGAAGTTAAATTAGCCTTTTACTTTTGGCAGCCGGATATTTTATGAGATCAAATGATGCACAATGCTGTTTGCTTATAGTTTAGCCACGTCACTCAAGGTTTTTACCTACTGAACTTGATCACAATAGGATGCCAATACTGTTACATAATCACTAATTAGATCGGTCATCATCCGGACATTTATTTTTGTCCTATACGGCACGATAAGGTCTGCCACCAGAAATCGGTGAAGCGGTACTGCGGCCACCGCGGCGACAGCCGCTCTCCATTTTTACCGCCACGGAGCGTTGGAAGGTCGATATTCAGATACCGCGTCTGACAAGGAGAGGCCACAGTCCGCTGTTCCCAGGCCACTGGCGGTGTGGCGACCCTCGGATATCACCCACCAATGACAGGTCACGGTCCCACCGGCGCGCCTCTGCCCCTCCCCAATTACAATAGTACATACCCACACACAGACACAGACACCGCCGAGCTGATGTCCCGATTATCGACTCCAATCACGTCCGGGCAGGTGCAAGATCCCACCATAGACGCATAGCCAGACCCAGTGGTGTTATATCGGAATACAGTTAGACGCTACTGATTAGGCATCAGGAAGACAAAATGCGTGTTCAATTTTTATATGGGAGTCAATATCAACGTGGATTGACGGCAAGAGTTGAAACTTTTTGCTGATGTATCGCGAGATGTGACAAAATATTTGACCCTGCCGCCACTTTTTCTCTAGGAATCAAGATGTGATAAACAAGCCTGAAAAGACCATTAAGGGCACCTAAAGCTTTGGTAATAATTTGGGAAAACCACAAACCAGTATATCTAACCTCTCGTTCCATGACACCAAGTTTTAGTTTTCAGTCCCGCTCCGCCCTCTCACCGTCTCGATCTCCTTGAGGAGGACGCCGTCGGTCATGAACTTGATGCGCGTGCTGTCGGTGGTGTTGCCCTCGAAGCGGATCTGGTAGCTGACCTGGTCGGCGGTGAGGCCCATCTCCTGGCGCACGCGCCGTGACATGCTGACGGCGGCCACCCGGCGCGGCTCGGTCACACCAATCAGCTGCTCTCTGCGCGGAAACGGCGGCGACAGCGACGTCAATGGACCGTCAATGTCAGTCTGTATGTAAATGCAGTACTCCAGTTATAGTGCCCCATCCGTCTGAATAGCATTTCTTAAAGCACATTTAGGAAAGAAGACTTAGAGGAGCACCCACTTAAGAAGAGGGACATCAAGATAGAACTTCACCCAAGTAATTGCAACATTGTTGTCCGTTCAATCACACAACGGCTATTCATCACCTCCGTGCCATTGGCCCGGCGCTCGCCCCTGAATGTCCCACCTGGCGTAGCCGGCCTCGTAGAGGAACTGGGGCACCTGGGTGGTCTTGCCCGAGCCCGTCTCTCCGGCCAACACGAGCACCGGGTTCTCGCGCACCGCCTCGACGATCTGCTGCTCCTCGGCCAGGATGGGCAGCTTGAGACGCGCCTCCTGGATCTCCCGGTCCCGCACCACCGGCGTGTACTGCAGGCGGAGGTCTGTCCAGGGCCGCGCAGTACCGGTCAGCGGCCGGGTGGTGTCGGTTCGGTCCAAACAACGGCGTAACGCACCCTCACCTGATCGGCCTTAAATGTAATTGCAAAGCATCGAACAAAGCCGTAGAATGTCGTCAAAATACCGCTAAACGTTTGCAATGAATACAATAGAAAGCAATAATACACATAAGATCCGGATATTTCTAAAAAAGCTAATGCCAGGTCGGCATAATCATTGACAGGCAGCGGCCAACTGTGCACCGTTCACCATCAGTGACTAATAGGCGGCAGCGTCACCTGGCTGTGAGGTGTGCAGGTGCAGCGGCTCACCTGAGTCCTCGGCCGGCTGCTTGACCGGTCCGGCGGTCCGTGCCGCCTTCGCAGCCGGCTCGCCGCTGGTGCTCGGCGTCTGGCCCGCCGACGACGCCGACTCGGGCTCTGTCGGAGACGTCTCTCCGTCCTCCTCTCCGTCCGGTGCATCACCCTCCTCCTCCTCCTCCTCTTCGTCTTCATCATCATCTGATTCACTTTCCATCACCACCTTGGACGCCACGATGGTGTCAGCCCGTCAGTACTATTGCGATTTATGGAACTATCTTTACTCATTAGGGTCAATAATATAAAAAAATCCCCTTAAGTTAAGTTCATAAAGTTAGATGAAAACAGAAAACTTATATAGAACGCACAGAAACAGAAATGTGCATATCGAATAGAGTGATTGAATAATTATGGCTTGGCACATAATCACGCACAGATCCACGCTGCCCACACCTCTGTTCCGATGACGTTGGGGTCGCTGGGCGGCTGATCGGCGCCCTCCTCTCGCTCCTCCTCCTCCCCGTGTGTGCGGCGCCGCTTCCCGCCGACCGAGCGCAGCCTCTCCTGGGCAGCGGCGCGCTTCAGACCCGTGGTCTGCACGCTGGTCACGCCGGTCAGCCGGTCCAGCAGCGAGGCATCGCCCTGCACCTGCTGCAGCGACGCCAGGAGGCCGGCCCGCTGCGCGCACAGCCCCCGGCGTCAGATGGAGGGGAAACAGGGCAGGGATGTGGGTGCAATAAATGTTACATATGAGCGAGGAGTGACCCAAAATTTGTCAATTTGGATGGGAAACAATACCGAAATTAAGATCATTTTTAATTTTCACTCTCATCTTCAATTTGAAGAACAATTTTTTACTCATAATTTCAAAAAAATTCAAAGAACCTGCGCTGAGGGTTGGTTTACATCCTACCATACTCAAAGGTATATCTTGTGGGGGGGGGGGGGGGGACCTGGGAGGTACGGGACGGTTTTGTGCAATGACAATTTGCTTCCTGTGGGCAGTGGCTAGACCTGGTTTTTCCCTCTGTGTACGTGAATTTGCCTTTCCTGTAAAGTGCGCATGTTATTAGGCATCTGGGATCAACTATTTTGTCTCGAGATAACTTTTAATAAATCATGCGCTTTTCGATCCATCAAAATACACCGGGAGGTATGGGTCGGTGTCATGTTTCATATTCTATTCTCGGCATTGAGCACGATACTCGTAGCTGGGATCTATCTTGAGCTCTCTTAGAGCCCGAGTACCGTTGTTTGGTCTAACTTTGGGCCGTGTGGGTAACTTTGTTCCACGAGGAAAAAAATGGCTAAATTTTAATCAGCTTAATACCTATGCGCGAGAAATGGCATTTTTGGGCCGGAACCAATGAAGTAGTCAATGATAAACCCAGGGACACAAAAAAATACGTCATCATGTCGATTTTGGATTTTCTACATTTTTTTTTGGTGAAGCTCCTTTTTTCACCCAATATTAAGGTTTAAGTAGGTCCCTGTACGGGGCTCAGATGCTACCAGCCGAATCAATTTTTGCAATTTGCCTGAATAGGACATCATGTGAACTTTGCATTCGACTATTGGTAATTTATTTTCCTCAAACATTTTTTTAAAATTTGGGGGTGGTCAATGTTTATATATATTTTTTGCCGTTAATTCAATAACTTTGGGCCACCCGCAGGAAGGGTAAATCCAGGGGTGATTTAAAGTTCCGACACCATATGATGAAGAGGGTCGTCGTGTCGTTCGTTGTGTCCGTGCCTTTTATTGTGTGTGGTTCGTCGCGTCGTTGGTTGTGCGTAAATGTCCCAGCGGGATACGTAAGCGACCTACAGTCATGATGGTGTGCATCATCCCGTGACTATGTTTGTACAATGTACAAGTTTGCTGTTCCTTTTTTAAAAGCCCCTAAGTGGACCAATGTATCCATAACGACCGCTAACATTGATACTTTTGGCTTTTCCATTGTTTTATTGATGCATTTATTCATATGGTACAAAGTTATTTTTGTGCGGGTAACATTGTGCCACTCTAATTTCAAAAAAATAAATTATATGTCATTATCCAAAAAAATTAAGAGTGACTATAGGTGACCAGCAGGGATGTCACTGCCTTACTGCACAATTTCCTGAACATTTAACAAAATAATTTGGAAGTAATACGAAGAAAAGTAAAAAACTGGTACAAAGTTAGGCCAAACAACGGTACCGCATGAGTGGCCAACAGCCTGCTTCTCGGAGGTCACTTGGCCGCATCTTTATTCAGGTGAACTCAATCTGAATCACGTTCCATGAAATATAAGACTTAGTAACCTTAGTAAAATGACTTCTTTTTTTTGTTCGAAATTCGAATGCAATTTGTAGTTAAGTTTTCGAGTGCGCTCGATAAAAAGAAAACGTATTGAAGAGGACATTCAATGAAAACATCGTTTTATTGATTTAGGATCACCGAGGGTGGGTGGCCCGAACCTCCCAGTTAGGACGTCAGAATGTGCGTAACATATCAGCTCATAATCTTGCGAGAAAGCTTCAAATTGTCTACCCAGTCTTACCCCGCGTTCGGAGTCTCTCGGACGACGAAGTTTCTTCGTCGTCCGGCCAATCCTTTTCAAGGTCAGCGGGGGCATGGCTGCGGTTATGGCACGGGCTTGGTTGGACGACGTAAAATCTTCGTCGTCCGAGACTCCGAACGCGGGGTTAATTTGCATGATTTAAAGGGACCCTCCCACCTTCAAAAAAGTTTATGAATTGGCATGAAAGTGATGTCGCTCGGTTCAGAAAGAGCGAAAACGAATATCTACCAAATTTCACCGAAAAATATTCACCGGTTTTCAAGATATTAGACTTTTACTTTTGTTTACTTTTTGGGATCTCCGCTGTTTCTAGCGACTTTATTTTAGAAGTGCGGCGTTTGCGGCAGATGTTGCGCGCAAATAGCATATACCACCGCGTGCTACAAAACGTTTTAGTCAAACTTAATGACGGACGTTCGAAAGCCTGATGACGTCATCAGATTCCCGTAATGGTTAAGAGATAGGGACCAAGCTGGTCCCACCCTGCAAGTAAAGGGAAGAAATTTCTTGAATACCATAAAGCTGCGGGGGTTGCGACCAGGATAAATGGTGGTTTCTGAGCCTGGCCGCAAACTTGGCTATCTCAACTCAAAACTAATGTTAAGGTGGGAGGGTCCCTTTAAACTTTATGTTAGCGACAATGTGACACAATAAAACGAGCCTGGTTCATATAAATCCCTATATAAAGAATAAAGAATAAAATCACATAAAAGAGTTTTCTGTATGTACCGTATTTTACTCGAAGAGGGCAAAAACGCACTATCGCCGCTTACTGCCAAATGAGACTGAGGAAGAATTTGGAAATATCGTGGGTTGTACAACGAAATGGCTGCTACCAGTTTACGCGGTCAAATTGAAAAAAAAAAACGCAAAACTTCTTCAAAACTGCGATGGTCCATACTTCCCGAGTCTCCCCTACATATTTGATCCTAATTCCACTCCTTTTTATGTCTCACCTGGCCCCCAATTTCCCCCCTTTACCTTTTTTGGTGCGGAATTTTCCCCTCTGACACACAAGCCAAAATACAATTTTGGCATACTGTGAGCAAGAGCTTTGCAAATCAACCCTCGCCTGTATTGGTGTTTGGCCAGACGCAAACGTATAGGGTGGGGGTGGGGGGATCTGTTGGACTCCCCTTGCCGTTCGGCCCCTGATGGAGCTAGAGCTCCGCAAAGAAAAAAAACAAGCGTGTTGCCTGTGACGAGAAGAATCCGGTGGTACCTAATTTTGAAGTCCTAGGTCAAAGGTTGACCTTCCAGGTCAGGTCAATGAGCCAAAGGTCCGGAAAATCGGGACCTGTTAGAACTTCCTAAAATGAGGTTGTTACGTTTTTAGGGGTGCTGATCACGAATTTCATGTTACTTTTGATCGCAGGTGATGTCTTCATGCATTAAGGCCAGGTCAGAAAAACGAGGGGTCTGTTTGACCCCCTATAAGTGTGTGGTTAACATGCTGTTCTCATCACATGATCACACACATTCTATAAATTAAGCTCACTGCAGTGCTTCCTTACCTTCTGTTTCTTCTCTTTGCGCTGAACAATCTGTTCTAATTTCTTCCTTTGCTTCTTTGATAGCAGCTTCTTTGGAGTTAAGCTTTTGGTAACATCTTTTGTATTCCTCTTCTTGCTGGGCAGGATCAAAGCATTTGAGTCATCTTGCTGTTGGTTCTTCAGCTCAGTTGCAACCACAGGTATCTGAAAATGGCATCAAATGTATAGTATACAATAAAGCAACAGTTTGTTCAATAAGATTAGAACATGGTCTGTTATTATAATATAAGTTTAACTGCAGGATACAGTTACAAAGTGCAGCTACCTATCCGAAAAGGTAAACAAGAAACATCAAACCTTTTCTTCTGGTGCGTGTTGAATTTTAATATCCTTCTTTTGCCTGGCCTTCTCATTATAGCGCTTACGTAAGCGACCCATTGCTGAAATGTGAAAAAACAAAATGGGTTAGCATGCAGAATGCTGTTTTTTAACAGTGATTGGCACAGTGATATAACCAGGACTGTGGAGTCAGAGTCAGGGTCAGAATCAGTTGGAGTTATCAGTATTCAGTTAACACTTAACAGACTTTTCAGAAGTCAAAGTCAGAATGTCAAAATCTTACCAACATTGACTCTTGAGCCAGACTTCACACTCCATGTGTGGCATGACCCACATCTGTTTTCTTGACAGCTCATGGACCTTTCCACATCATAGTGTGTCAAAGGCAGCTAGGGTTAGAGTATAGGGGACATACCTCAAACTACAACAAGTTCATTTGAGTCCTATAATATATATAATATAAGGTGGTCTTAAAGCACTAAGCAGGTGTCACTACTTTTTGCAAACAGGGAGAGGCACAATATCCAGATCAGATATGCTTTCTAACCAAACCAAACCTGACCAAACCTAACCTAACCTTACCTTGAACCTACAACCTAAAACCTACAACCAAACAACCTACAGCACCTCTCCTTGGTTGCAAAAAAAGGAGTGTGACTCTTCTTTACTACCATCTAATACAGATGCTAGGTTACATCCCATACTTTCGCCGAAGCTTATAAATGCTAGGTTACATCGCATACTTTCGCCAGAGCCCAGAGCTAGGGTCATGACCCTATTTTGGACAAACTTTTTCAGCAAAAAGCAGAAGACTGTGGCTGCCACAGAATCTATCTACTGATACAGCTCACAAAATAGTGATAATGGATGTAGAGCCTGCTACTAATTCAAGCTAACCCTTCTCAAGCTCTCAATGAAATGAAGCAGGTTGGTCAAACAGGTTCACCAGCCTTTGGCGAATAGATGGAGGCATTTACTTACCTTAATTAAAATATTTCTTAACTATTTTACGCCTTAGTATATTGATATCGGAAACCCCGCACACACAAACACGATGATGCGGTATATAACGCTGTACACACACACACACACAAACAAGGTCACACAAACACGCGAAACACGTGTAGCAGCAAGGCAGTAAATGCAGCAGCATGTGTATTTGCCTGCACCAGAAATGTCTTGACTTCGCCAGTTAGAATTCTGAACAAGCACTAAAATCTTTGGGTCTGTTCCCGTCGCTCCTCCCAAAAAATCTCGGATGAGGTTGGATGAGCTTGGAGGAGAGCCGTTTCAGAGGAGCCACGGGAACATTTTAGCGAGGAAATCAGCTGTTTGCGGGCTGTAACGGTCGGCGATTTATGGCGCGCAAACATAAATCAAGAGATAATAATCGCTTTCTAATAAAATAACCTTAGATTAATATCAAACATTACTATTTAAAGATATCCAATCGTCATCAATCACTAAAATCATTTCCACTTCCCGCAAATCTCATTTATAAACAATTCACATTTGTATTACGTGCGCCAAATATGTCTACGCAGGAGCCTCCTCCAAAAAACCAACTTTCGTTTGGGATGAGGGAGGGCATATTTACGTCTGGACAACGAGTTGCGGGGAAAAGTGCCGATTTTGTTGCAGTTTTAGGAGCCGGTAATTAGGCTGGATTTTTTGGTTACTTTTTCGTTCCGATTCATGTATTTCATAGTGTTTGGCTTTTGAATATTTTAGTTCTTTCAGATAAATATTACTTGCCTAACAACTTTTGTAAAAACGTTTCATTTTTTATAAGCCGACCTTCAGAGTCCTAAAAATACATCAGCACTACAATCATTGTAAACAAACAAATGGAGCACCACTTCAACTTGGCTCTGTTCCAAGGCGCTATTTAAGTTTATCTGGTGGTTTCCGCCAAGGCTATATAAACCAGGTAGAACGCTCCCGAAGAAAAAGTGGTGACAAGCAATATTTAGTTGCCGCGACCCTCACTTGTTCAAGACTATATCCGCAAGCAGCATTTACAAGCTAGCGGAAATCGACCAATCGGCGTTCGGCAATACTCAACGCTGATTGGCCCGATGCTCGTGACGAAATTGCGGGGGACTGCAGCTACTCCCCTATGGCGTTTCATTGACTTATGACTTTTGAAGGGGATTTGTATCAGTTTTTGTTGGGTTTGAGGCCATTTTTGAGCTTGGATATTCTTTCCGTGACCTTTGACTATATAATAACGACATTTAATTATGACATTTCTATATACTACCGGTGTCACATCGGCCAAAAAGACCGTAAGTACATGGGATAGACGGACCACTGCTGATGGGGCCACACATGTCGGCGTGTGGTCATCGGAGGCCCATGAGGGCTCGACATGGGCCCTTTATGGGTCGGTATAGGCCCAGTGGGTCCAGTGCAGGCCTACCAGGGGCCGGTGGCATATAATGTAAGGCTGTCTCGGGACGAATTGAGGGCTCATGGGGGCCATATAGGACCATTAGGGACAACATAAGCCAATCAGGGGTCCATTTAGGCCAATAAAGGCGCTTCAGGGACTTGAAGAGGCCATTCAAGAGCCGTGGTGGGCCCATGAGGGGACGGCATTGGTCCATCAGGTGCAGTCAGGGGATGTTGTACGGGTTTCTCAGTGACCCATTTGGGCATATCAGTGACCAATTTAGACCCAGCAGGGGGCTTTGTAGACCTATCAGGGGCTGGTGATGGTTTATCGGAGGCCAGCGTTAGTCCATCGGGGCACGGCATGCCCATTAGAGGTAATTGCGGGCCCACACTGAACAATGATGGCCCTTCAACGGCCCCTAATGGATCTAGATTGACCCATGTTCCATGATGTGTCATGTATGCCCCTATGGCAGGCCTACTCAGACCCCTGATGGACGTTCCCGGCCTCTGATGACCCTATACTGAATCCTGGTGGGGCTCTAAGAGTCTCCAATAACCCTTCTTCAGCCCATTATTACCATACGCTGGCACTAAAGGCCCCACATCAGCCGCAGGGCAGTCCGTGCCAAGACAGCATGTCTTTTCGGCCGATATTACATCGGTAATATTAATTAAAATCATGATTTTATGGTGCCATTATATAGCTAACAGTCATAAGAAATATATTTCAACTCGAAAACAGCTCGAAACAGCATATAATCTTAAAGAAACCCCTCTGAAATCCAAAAGCCTATTCGGGTCCATAGAGAATAACTGCGGTCCCCCGCAATTTCGTCACGAGCGTCGGGCCAATCAGCGTCGAGCACTGCCGAGCGCTGATTGGTGGATTTTCCGCTAGCGCGTGAGTGCTGCTCGCGGAACAAGAGTTCGTCGACAATCCTCCACAAACGTCTGTCACCACTTTTCGTAATAAAGACTATGCATACATATATACAGATGGTTCAGTTTGTGACGGGAGGACGGCAGCCGCTGTCACATCTGACCATCATAACAAAACAAGTAGGCTACACGACGACCATAGCATATTTAGTGCTGAGTTGATAGCCATTCACTCAGCACTCAAATATGTCTCATCGAAAAACATAGAAAAGGCTGTGATCTGCACAGACTCAGCTTCATCGGTAAAGGCAATAGCTCACAGAAAAATGGAAAAAAACGAAATCGTTTATAAAATAAAAAAGATGATTATTGGCTTTACCGATGAAAACAAACACGTCATTCTCCTGTGGATTCCGTCCCACGTTGGAATACAGGGGAATGAAAAAGCGGACAAGCTAGCCAAAGAAGGTCTTCATCTCCCATCTCGAAATCATCTCGCTCTCCCCCTTCCGGATTTTCTGTCTTCGCTCTTCCGTGCCTTCCAGAGATACCGCCAAAAATGCTGGATAGATGATCATACACCACATCTCTTCTCCATTAAACCGAAACTTTGCCATTTCTACTCTTCCCATCAAAACACAAGGATCAAAGAGAGAGTCCTAGCCAGGCTCCGGCTCGGCCACACACAACTCACCCACAACTACATCCTGGACAGAGCACCTCCACCCATATGTCACCACTGCCGCGACCACCCACGCTACACCATCTCACACTTCCTCCTCCACTGCCCACACCTACACCAACACCGCAGACATATAGTGCAATACATTAACACACATGGACTCTCTCTCGACCTTCCGACTCTCCTGGGCGACACTCATCCGGATATCCACGACCTTCTGTTCGTCTTTCTCGCCGACGCTCGGATCATCAAGAGCCTTTAGCGTGTTAGGGCCGCGGCTGCCGCCCCTAAAACGCTAAACAGAGCCCTCGTCTCCCGGCTCACCCCCAAACTCACACATTAATTAATCGCGGTTACAGGGCTTTTTCCCTCGCGCCGTTTTGGCTTAGGTGCGAGGTTTTTGCCCTTTGCGTTAGGCGTCGGGTTTTTTATTATTTAGGACTTTTTCTCCCGACCATTACACCCCACAACAAGGCCCCGCCGGGGGGCTGGAGCCTAGAAGGTCTTATACCTTCTGTCAGTGCGATGAAAGCTTCCCGGCTCCATTACACTGACACCAGCTCACAAGTGTTCATGTCTATTATGTATTGTTAATAAAAGTCATTACCACTGTTGTGTTTGCGACTCCAGACATCTCGGCTCTTTGGCTATACACGTAAGTACCTCCCTTAGCTTTGATTCCACATTAAGATAGGATCCCACGTTGTTTTTGCTACCGGGTTCACATAAACCGGTTTAACGTAAGACTTGCTGCCCGGCGAAAATTGCCGGAGTAACTGCCCCCTGCTCGGGTATGGCACTAGGCCGACCGAGCAAAAAAAAAAAAAAAAAAAAAAAGCTAAACAGCCGGAGCGTACCCCCCTGGTTTCCGCGTACTCTTGTACATCGTTTTGTTGGATGTTTTGAATCCCTTAGGATTGACTTATATCATATTTAAGAAGCATGTGACTGAATATAATCCGAAGTATCCAGGAGGTTGACAGAGGTCGTGACTCCTGAGCAATATCAATATCAAGTTGAACTTGAAGTTATGAAATTTTGGTTGATAAACGCGAGCTAAACGGGCTCATATATCAGCAGGAAAAAGTAAAATTTTAAGAGCTTATTGGCCGAAAACAAGCTATAATATTGCAGATCCTGGAGCAATATTGAAGAGTGCGCTAAGCAGGATCATGCCAGAAAATGTTGACTAATGAGCGCACTGCGCATATTAATGTATTGGTATGAATATTGAATGATAACTTACAACAGCAAGATAAATTAGTGCTATCAAGTTAAAAACCTAGAATGAATAGACTTTGGCAGCTTTACTATGCTTAGACGCTATGCAGATTGTAATGTGCATCAGGTACTCAGTGTCTGGCAAATGAAACATGCGATCATTCCATTGCTACTGGACTTGGAGGAGAAAGCTTGGATCACTAAATCCACTTTATGTTGATTTTGATGTTAATCATTACTGTATTTCTTGAAAAAAGGATTGTTATAAAAATCCTTGCAACGATGTGATCATATAATGTGTTCATAGTCATTCGTGATAGTGATTGTTGGTCCAATATACAATGGCAAAGCTGAAGCTCTCAGTCTCAGCGTTTCTTCCTGTGGATGGCCAGCAGTGACTCAGAGCTTAGAAGTATTAGTTTTCTTCACAGGGCTGGGATAAAAAGTACTGAGGGTAATC